TATATCAACTTCAAATCTAGTTAACGGCCGTTGAAAATTGAAACTCGCCAAAAACAATTGTTGGAAAATAAAATATTTTATTTCGCACGATAATTCACTCAGTGTCGCCTCGCAGCAAGTGCACAGGATTTTTGTGATGCCGCAACTTGTCACGCCGTTGGCGAATTCACCACAATGCGAACATTTACTTACTTACAATAACATCAAAATTGTACTCAATAAATGTACGAGTATGTATATTTTATTCTGTTTAAAAATTGATCTTTTTTGTTTAACTAGTGATTCATTGATCTATACGAATAAAATATTAAAAAAAATCTGTTTCCAAATCTTATTAATTCATAGCACTTAAGCTCGTCTATAGCTAGTAAACAAAATAATTAAAAAACCCCCTACGCAAATTAATTTTCATTTAACGAATCGAGTAATCATACGCCAAAAGAGCTGATACTCTTATACTGTTGGACCGATGTTAACCAAACATTGCTAAGAACCACCACAAGGAAACTGGCTTTCAAATAAAAAAAAACGCATCGAAATCGGTTCATCCGTTTGAGAGCTACGATGCCACAGACAGACACACAGACAGACAGACATTGACGTCAAACTTATAACACCCCTTTTTGCGTCGGGGGTTAAAAAGAAAACGGTTGATAAGCAAAGGAGAAAAACCTACTGAACTGTTTCGTCTTAGTCTATTTATAACATAAGTCGCTAGTTTGATATTTAACTTAATTTCATTATTACGAGTAGATAGAAAGATATGAAATCTTGAATTTTTAGTTTTTTTATCGATTTGTTATTGAGTTCGAAACTAGTAAAAATTTGAATTATTAAAAAGGGCCCATAATAATAGTAATCCAATTAAAATTCATTTTGAAGTTTGAAAAATTCAATTTGAAATTTGAAAAATTCATTTTGAAATTTGAAAAACTCATTTTGAATCTAACTAACATAGAACAAACTTACAAATTGCGAGATAATCACTAAAATTAGTCCAATGGCTTGCGAAATAGGAGTTACCTAAAGTAATTAACAAAACGTGATGAGTAAGTGTAGGACGAATCATTAATATACATCAGCGAATATAAATAGACAAAATTGCGTGTCAGCGTGATCCACTTTGCACGTTAAAAGCGTGTTTACATTTCGGCTTTTCACGCTCATTTACTTGAGAGTTTATATTACTCGTAATATTAAATATAAAAACGGAAATAGCTCTATTTGATTTTGTTTGTTTAATTATTTGTTTGATTAATTTAATTTACCCGACTGCGCGAAGATGTATAAGCGTCTCTCGTAACTTCTAAATGGCTGAACTGATTTTGATAAAGTATACCTTATTTATTATTGTATTTTAATAACGCGAATGTCATAGGAGAAAAATAGATGTAAGTAAAAATGTACTTAAATGTCACTCTCAGAAGTCACTAAATAAGAAACTTCTATTGAAATAAAAATGTGTTTCAACCAACACCTGGAACGCTACAGACAAAATTTAGTGTAGAATCAAATATTTTTGAACTTTTCATTTATGCCTTTTTACTTTAAGTCATAAATCAAAGAAATAATTTTAATAACATAAATTATTAATTCTATAAAGGGATCTAATTGAAGTCCAACAATTTGTGTTTCTCCGTTGAAGATTTAGAGCGAAAATCCAAGGACGTCGTCGAGCGGACTGAAGCACGCAATCAGTGATAATTTCCACCCTGATTAATATCCATAGTAGGTAAAATGTGAACAGTATTTATTGGCAACTGAGCGTGTTTAAACTTCTTGAAGTTAGTTCTGCTTCGCATAGTTTTAAAATGAATTGCGATGTTGTTAGAACACAAAAACTTTTTAATAAAAAAATAAAAACCGACATCAAACAAAAGCACTAAAAAGTAAAAAATAACTGATTGGTAGTTTTCATTTACTATACATACCTAATCAAATATTTTCGAAGTCGGTGTGCTTTGCTTTGTATGGGCTGGCACCGATTTTGAAAATATTTGATTAGGTATGTATTTAATAGGTAGGCTTTAATTACTTAGCCAAAGCTAGCTATCTACTATTAGCCGTTGAAGAGTTCCACCTATTCACCTTCTGGCCTTACCATCAGATCAGGTCAACAATACCGAACCACTGTACTATCAACGGAAATAGAAACACTTGCAAAGTTTCAAGTCAATATGAGAATTAGAAGTAGGTTAAATTCATCATTAGCTATTTTTCCACCTTTAGGGGTGGTATTTTTTTTTTGAAATTTAAAAGGGACCAATCTGGAAGTATACACTTTCAAACAACACAAAAATTGTCCACATCGATTAATAAATGACGGAGTTCTGAGGTAACAAACATAAAAAAAAATACAGTCGAATTGAGAAACTCCTCCTTTTTGAAGTCGGTTGAAAATTAGAAAATCGTATTTTATATTATGAGTAGATTGTAATATGTTTTTCTTATTTTTAGGATTCCTTACATAAAAAGAAAAAAAGGAACTTATAGGATCACTTTGTTGTCTGTCTGTCAGTCTGTTTCATACTACGGAACACTCGGTGTGCGAGTCACACTCGCACTTATCCGATTTTTTTATATTAACTAGCTTTTCTTCGCGACTTCGCTCGAGTATTTAATACGTGCGCGTAGCGATGGCAAGTCTCTAGTATAAATATAAAATTCGATTCGATTCATAAGTACTTATAGATGTGTTTCTCAATTAAACGTTATAATTAATGTCTAAATCGAAGTAACTGTTAATGGAAGCAACTTAAATCAGAATCAAAACAGTTCAATACTAGCATTATAATTAATTAATGTGTATCAAAGCTTACGAATGTTGCCACATCATTGGTTATGTGGGAATAATATTCATTTAGAATTATTACACGCTATATAGAGCTAGTAATTTTTTAAAATAATTTTGCTATAGCTGGATACTTTTTTGTGTTAGTTTTAGCTTTAACAGGTTGATAGTAGTTATCTAAACATATAATAAAATTCTAAGTCGAATCTGTATATTAAATATTTTTTTGGAAAATCTTATTGAAATAGTCATTATCATCGATACAGAGGCCGAAAGATTTTTTGCTTGTCTGTCTGCCTGGGAAGGCATCACGAGAAAACCACTGGACGGATTTTGATGAAATTTGGTATGGTGATAGTTGGTTGTCCGGGTAACTTTTTAGTGCGGGAAAATATCTTATCTCTGAGAAATCTAGGTATACTAACCGTTAAAACCTACCTAGCGAACCCGAGCGAAGCAAGGATGAGTCGTTAGTAAAATAATAAAAATGTTAATTTTCCTCTTATAACCCCCAAATCTCTTTACAAGATATTTTAGCAATTTATTTATTTTAAAAAGAAGCAAATTGAGTAATTTATTTTTGAAATAAAATAACCAAATAGATCTTGAGCAGGAAGTTTGTGTTAACTTTTGTTCGATAGCTATTTAAATAAGTTATGAAACATAGATGAATTTATTCTTAGTCAATTTTTTCTCAGAATTTTGGTAACAAACAACAAATGGATATATTGTTATTTGAATAGCTTTCCCGAGGGCTACACGTCAGTTCAGTCATAATATTGAGGAAAAATATTTTCTATCATTGAGATTTCGGATAAAATAGAAATAAATGAAGGTTTTAAATTTAACTAACCGGAAGCTTGGGGCATTACGATACTTTCCATAATCTCTGGGATTGTCTTCTAATTCTATTTTATGTATCAAATTAATAGGTATCCTTATTTATGCTTTTATTATCCCAAATAACTTTTTGTTAATAGCCCTAATGGTTATGTGCTCACTTGAATAATTGAATGAAGCCGGATGAAATTCGTACATACATACATATGTATGCACTATGTATGTATATATATATGTATCTATGTATGTATGTATGTATGTATGTAATACATATATATGTATGTACTAGTAGGTATACAATTTATGTAACAGCTTGCCTAATGGATTTTCTATATACAATGATTTACTCTTTATATTTTGATTAATGTACGGGCATTTTTCAGGGAAAATAAAGCTCCCACGGCAGTAATGGTGATAACATTGAATACGGTTATATTTATATCCAGAGCTTTATTGATTCGAGGTCGCTTAGTTTAAAGTTCCTCTACTACATAATAACTAGTAACTGCCCCGGTGGTGTAGTGGCTAGTATGTACGGCTGCACACCCGGAGGTCCTCGTTCGAGTCCCGGGTCGGACCAAGTCTAGTTATTGAGTCTTTCTGTATAGTAAGCCTCAGTAACAGCCTGGAGTTGGGAAGTTGGCGGTGTTTCACTCCCGTGCCTCGGAGAGCACGTAAAGCCGTCGGTCCTGCGCCTTAACTCTCACCGGTCGTGTCGAGTACGTCCCACCAGAGAATGAGAGTGACAGGAATAGAGAGTGCACATGTGCACTATAATATCTCCTGCGCAGTTGGCTAGTCTCAATGAGATTGGCCGCCGTGGCCGGAATCGGTCAGGAGAACATATATGTACATGTATAACATTTAAGAACATATATGTACATGTATAACATTTAAGCGATATCATCACGTTTGCAATGCAAAAAAAAGTTTTTACTTTGATAGAAATGTTGAGTATTACGCAACCACTCTTGCAACATTGTTCAGAGCATAAGTGTTATTTTTTAGTTCTTTTATGTAATAAGACATCTGAATCCGCATACGTATTCCATACAAACACTTTAAATTCGTAACACGTATCTACTATCTAGCTATCGAGTTCAATAAAATTTTTATAGAATAACTCTAAAATACACTCATATTACAAATACTAAACTGAATATTAGAGGACTGGTGCTGTTTTACGAAATACAGGTCTAATATAGGTCGGAATATAGTATGGGAAATGACCATATTATACAATCTAAATCAATTGTTCCAATTTGTATTGTACTTATGTTTTTAACTACACATACGAGTTCATACATATTGTATGAATGCCATTTTGAGAATTAAATTATTATTGAGTATTATTATTAATATAACTTACTTGATCGAATAAGCGAAGGCCATGACAGCGTCCGAGACGAACTGTAGTTGTCTCTCAAACTCAGTGTTGTTCACAGTGAGCCTCTCCTTTCCAGAGCAGGCGTGTTTGTATTGACCGTTGTACGGCGTGCGAGGACTACCAGCGTAGCGACATTGGAAGTGGTCCTCCCAGAATTCTGAAATATAATATTTTACGGTTAGTATTGGATAGACTATACGCATATATATATATTGAAAAGTGAAGTTTTTGATTCCCCATAGAAACTTACACACCCCCCCCCCCCTTCACCCTCTTAAAGGATGATTTTCAGAATAAACACCATCCTATATCTTTCCAGCATCTCAAACTATCTCACATCGTCGTCATATAGACAGACAGACAGACAGAGTTACTTATATATATACTAAATAGTTATTGCTCGCAATTCATATATTATAATTCCTACAAAACGAAAAATGGCGTCGCCCAATCAATAAAGTTTCGCTCATAATTTTTTTTAATAAACACCTATATCCTTTTATTAAACCGCTACTTTAAATGTCTTTCGTTAAAAAATATACAAAACATTTAAAACATAAAAAGACTTTTTAGAAATAACATTCAAAAAATCCAACAATACAGGTCTGATTGATTACCCGCGCCTGTCCGCGCCTCACGTTTCGCCGCCCGCGCCCAGGTTACCGCCCTGGCACGTTCCAACAATATAACTACGTTTTTCTTCAGAATTTGGCTATCTAATATAAATTCAACTGAATTCTTTATCTTTGTGCAAATTTTATTTAAATGGACCCTATATTTTCTAAGAAATATTTAAGAAAGGACCACTAATTCGAAAAAAGTTACAAAAGACAGTAATTACTTTGATTGTATCATTTAAGGTATAATTTCTAACCTAATATTATAAAGAGGAAAGATTTGTATTTTTGTATGTTTGTAACGAATAAACTCAAAAACTACTAAACCGATTTAGATGAAATTTAATAAGAAGATAGTTTGAGACCCTGGAAAAGACAGAATATTTTTTATTACAGAAATCCCTTAAGGGGGTGAAAATGGGGATGAAAGTTTGTATGGAGAATAAACCTAGGGATGAACCTGAGCGAAGCGAGGGTGAGTCGCTAGTTATCTATATGATTGAAAGTTTACATGTTTGTTGATGCAAAATTACAAATCTTTAAAAGTTTTTTGTGATTGCTATGATATTTTGACATTTAATAAGTAATGAAGCAGACTTTTAAGCTATTTATTTTGCTTTAACTCGAATTATCGCATCAAATACGATCTTCATGCGATAGCCATAAGCTTTGGTACACGTGTGTTTGAGTATTGAAATTATTTTTGCATTATCTATTTACGCAGGCGAAGCCATGGGCAATCGCTCGTATTACAATAAAAATATATAAGTTAAAACTAATATATATATATATATATATATATATATATATATATATATATATATATATATATATCTAAAAACTTAAAATATCTATACCTAAAAATATTATAAAATGAATCTTACCGACAAACCAAGGGTTTCTCTTATTATTCTTCACATTGAGCCCTAAGAAATATTCTTTGAAGCCTTTTACGTCGTTTGCCTGAGGTTGCACACTGATCGTTCCCTCTACAGCTCTCTCGTTCCCTTCAGAGACCAGAGCTCTCGCGCTCCACCCATCAGACCCGATCCAACTGAAGGAACTGGTCGCGTTTACGCGTTCCACTGCTCTCATCACACCAGCCACTTCTTGATCAGAACCGAAGATGATTGCTCCTGTAAATAAGATATTTTGTTAAACTTCCAAAATATTACCAATTTTAGTACCGTTATGTTCTTTAGTCTATATTTTTGTCAGAAATGTTAAATTTCTTAAATCTGAAATCCTATCATTTTGATTCACACATTAATATTTTTCATTTGTAAAAGTATATAGTGATAGTGTTGCTTAGTAAATTGTCTTTTTAAATAATAGCAAACTAAATTAAAATTATTATTCTTAACTAATTTTAAGTTTTTATATTACACATAGAACAATTATGTGGCTTAAATAATTAATATCATATTTTATATTTTTTCTTTATGGTTATAAATATAATAATGGCAACACTAAATATAGATAACTAATTAATATCTTTTTAAATTGTAATAATTATAATGATAACAGCAAAAATTAAATAAATAATATTCCATATTCAACTATTAAACTAATTAAAATTATAAAAATGTTTAAAGTTATAAAATATTGTAAGGTACTTGGTGCATTTATTCATTTTGTTAATTGTGGGTAGGCTGTCTGTAACAACTATACCTTCGAGACATCTAACACCTCAGTCTCTCCCTTGACCATGGATGCTGTAAAGCATTCGAAACGGGAACCAAAAATCAAAATAAATCCGCGAAATAATCCGAAAAGATAGTTTTATTTAAAATGTCAAATATTCGTGTAAATCTAACAAAGTATTAAATAATGTTATAGTTTATCTGTGAACTAAATTTCTTCCAAGCCCGCGGAGCCAGTTCAGTGTGAAGGACTAACAAAAATATACATATGTGCTTGTTACTCCATATAAACATACTTTTCGCATATATAATGGTATTCCATATATACTGATACTTCGCTAGAGGCTTTAGAATCACTTTAAAATGACACAGGCACCCTTATCATTTAAAACGCAAAGAAGACAGTAGATACCGTCAAATGACATCTATCTCCCGAAGTTAGAATGAAGAGATACCTTTTGCTACCATATTTACCTGGTACATCAAAATAATAAGTTTCAAACTCACGAGTAGAACACCTTTCTTTTGGTTAAAAAAATTGGAATAAGTTCAGTTAAGTTTATTGAAAATTATCTTCTAAATCCAAACTAACAAACCAATACTTACATTTGTACTCACTAGTTGGCATAAGTTTTATTTTTATTATGTACATTTTCACTCACTGTATAAATAACTAGGGACTCACTCTCGCTAGATAAAAATAAAATTATCCCACGGGAACCGTGAAATTTTGTCATGATGATATATAGCCTATAGCTATATATTTCTATCTATTTCTATATCTCAATAAACGGGCTATCTAATACAAAAATAATTTTTCAAATCGAATTAGTAGTTCCTGAGATTAGAGCGTTCAAACAAACAAACTCTGCCTCTTAATAATAATAGTATAGATTAAGAAATTTCAAAATATACTGTAGCTATAATCGTAAACTTCACAAGATGATACTATCTAATATACTTTTAGTAATTTTTGAAATGAATATTTTATCACACGTGTAAAATAAAGAATTATATTTCACTAGCATTGCCCGCGGCGCCGCCCGCGTTCAGATGACCAAAAACCAAATTCTTAGGTTTTCCATATTAGTATACTTTTACATTGCAGTTTTTGTATTTTTTTAATGAGATATTTTCCCGCGGTAAAAAGTATCCTATGTGTTGACCCGGATAACCAACTACCATCATACCAAACATAAAAATCCCTCCAGTGAGTTTTCCGTGATGCAGTAACAGACAGACAGACAGACAAAAATTCTAAAAACTATAGATTCGGCCTTTGTATCGATAATAATGTTTATTTCAATAAGATTTTCCAAAAAAAACATTTAATGTACAGATTCGGCTTAGTTACAATTTTATTATATGTATAGATTTGGACGCTCAAACTAAGACAATTAAAAATATGGTGATATAACATATTGTTTTATTCAACAAACAATTCATCTACCAAAAAACAATGTTAAAAGTGAACGCAGTAAGGTAACTAACAGCAATCAAAACTTTGTAGGACGGAACGAGTTCGTAAGGAATTGGGTCATGGCTTGTATATATTCGTATATTTAGTACTTGGTGGTTAAGAAAAGTTACTTGGAGTGCGAAAGTAGGCAATATGTTGGCTTCTTATTTTGTACTAGCTTTTGCCCGCGGCTTCGCTCGCCCCAAGTTTAATTTAGTTTGATAAGTTTTAGTTTTAAGTTCAATGAATATAGTCATATTTATAGAAAAAATATTATCAACAAATATTCTTTATTGATAATATTTTTTTAATATTTACGTGACAAACATCCTGACAAACGTTGAAAATGAAATCTATGTTGATTTTTAGATTATTTGCCTCTTTTCACCCCCTGAAAAAACAACCCCTGTTTTTGAAAAAGCAGGAAACCCCTGTTCATTTATTCGTTGATATGAGTAATACTGCGAATTGTCGAATTGATACATCTCTTTTATATCATTTCTCCATATAATTCGTGAACTTTGATCAGATGATACTTTGTACAATGTGAAAAAACGATTTTCGGTCAAGTTTGGAGAGGTTTCAGTTTTTTATAGGCCATCATACAGCTGTAAAATAGATTATACAAAAGGTTTATTAGAAATATACATATACATAGTTAGAGTACTTTTTCATTACACGTTTACACAGTAATTACATAAACTATCATTTTAATAATTTGTCGGTGGTCTTTGAAATTACCATAACCGCATTTTATTGAAACCAAAACCCATTATCTTTTATCAACTGTTCTGGTAATATATATATATATATATATATATATATATGTATATATATATATATGTATATATATATATATATATGTATATATATATATATATATATATATATATGGAAAATTATTTTTTCCATTAGTTCATAACTATTTAATCCGTTCAAATAAATAATGTGTTTGTTTAGTTTTTAATATTTTACGATATATTCTTTATAATATGCTAGCGACTCTCACTCTCTCGCTCGGGTTTGTCCCTAGCTTGTTTCCCAATAGAAATTTTCATCCCCGTTTTCTCCCCCTTTAGCGATGGTTTCTGGGGTAAAAAGTATCCTATGTCCGTGGTCTCAAACTATTTTCATATCAAATTTCATTTAAATTGGTTTAGTAGATCCAGAGATTACCCCCTACAACGTAATAAACTCACAAACTACCTCTTTATACTCGTAGTATTAGTATAGGTCATGACTAGAATAAACTTGAGCTTGAATGGCTTAGGAATTTATAAAAGACACACGCCCAAAGAAAAAAATATTTTTGGAGCACGAAAATTTGCAACTGGTATACAAAATAACCCACCCAAGTTTCATCAAAATCGAAGCAATGGTTTAGAAACGCATAGAAGACAAACATACAAATATTAATTTTTATTTGACATAATTAATCAATAACAGATATTAATCACTGATATATTTCTCAGAATATATGTACATTGTATATATATATATATATATATATATATTTAAGTTTTCTATTAGTAATAACGATAATAGAATACCATCTTATCTAAGCTCGCAGGTGTGTCAATATAACGTGCCTCATTACTTCATTTTCCATTTTTTACTAGATTTCTGGAAACATAAACGTTTATTCTATTCGGAAATTGTTTAGTTGAAATATGTATGTATGTATTCAGCCCTTTTTAATGTCACACTTCTGGGCACCCTTACGAGGGAGATCAGGCTATAGTCCACCACGCTGGCCAATTGCCGGTTGGCGGACTTCACATTTCTTTCAAAAACTTGCTAGGTTCTCTCAGACATGCAGGTTTCCTCACGATGATTTCCTTCACCGCAAGACAAGTGGTAATCATGTTAGAAATGATTCGCACATGAAATGAGGTGCGAGACCCGGGATTAAAAATCTTATTTAAATAAACATTATTATCGATTCAGAGGCTGAATCTATAATTTTTAGAATTTTTGTCTGTCTGTCTGTCTCTTACCGCATCACGGAAAAACCACTAGACGGATTTTGATGAAATTTGGTATGACGATAGCTGGTTTTCCGGATCAACATATAGGATACTTTTTACCGCGGGAAAATATCTCATTTCTGAGAAAAAATACAAAAACTGCAATGTAGCTTTTATTAACAAAAATAACCTATATTTAGAACTCATACAGTTTTATATCAAGAACATAACTACACCACTAAGACGTAAGCTCTTGCTAAGACGTTAGTGTATTAGCAACATTGATGAAAGGGAAATGGATTTGACCTGAAAAGGTATTAGGGTCGAAGGGAGTAACTGTTAACATTACATCAGAGTTTAAGTAGCCAAATGGCTCTATATCTCAGGTCGGCTAAGCTGAGTGCGTATAAACTGTGTATTGTAGTAATAATGGCAGGTGACAATGTATTTATATTTATGACTAGCATTGCCGATATATATATATATATATATATATATATATATATATATATATATATATATATATATATATATATATATATAGACTGCAGATGATCATAAACCAAATTCTTAGGTTTTACATATTAGTATACTCTTACATTACAGTTTTTGTATTTTTTCTCAGAAATTAGACATTTTTCTGCGGTAAAAAGTATCCATTATGTTGACCCGGATATCCAGATATCACCATACTAAATTTCATCAAAATACCTCCAGTGGTTTTTCTGTGATATCTGTAACAGACAGACAGACAGACAAAAATTCTAAAAACTATAGATTTGGGCTCTGTATCGATAAGAATGTTTATTTTAATAAGATTTTCCGAAAAATATTTAATGTACAGATTTGACTTAGTTACAATTTTATTATATGTATAGATATCATCATGCTACTGCCCATGGGAGCGGAGCAGTAATATAATATATAGTCTTTCTATTCCATACTAACCGTTACATACCTTACATACCTTTTTGTCTCTACAAACCCGAGCGAAGCAAGGGTGAGCCGCTAGTAAAATATATTACAAGAGGATTTTTCCTAAAATGTCTTAATTTTTATTTGGAGAA